CTGCCTCCTATCTACACCTGCCTGCCTCTAGCTTACACCTGTCTGCCTCGTATCTTACACTGTCTGCCTCCATCTTTTACTGCTTCTGCCTCTAGTCTTACTCCTTCTGCTCTATCTTACACCTGCTGCCTCTATCTTTACACCTGCCTGCCTCTATCTTAACGCCTGCTCTAGCTTTACACCTGTCTGCCTCAATCTTACTCCTTGTCTGCCTCTATCGTTTTAGCTCCTTGTCCTGCCTCTATCTTACACTCTGCCTGCCTCTTTCTTACACCTGCCTGCCTCTATCTTACACCTGCTGCCTTCTAGGCCGTTATACACCTGTCTGCCTCTATTCTTACACCTTGCCTGCCTTTATTCACCTACCTGCCTTCTTTCTTACAAACTGCCTTGCCTCTATCGCTTACACCTGTCTGCCTCTACTCTTACACCTGTCTGCCTCTACTCTTGCAACTTCTGCCTCTATCTTACATCCTGCCTGCCTCTATTTACACCTGCCTTGCCTCTATCTTACACTTCTACCTGCCTCTTTCTTACACCTGCCTGCCTTTATCTAACCTGTCTGCCTCTTATCACACTGTCTGCCTCTATCTGTACACCTGCCTGCTTCTATCTTAACCTGTCTGCCTCTATCTTACACCTGCCTGCCTCTATCTATACTATACATCTGCATCTATCTTATCACATGTACTGCCTCTATCTTACACCTGCCCTGCTTCTAGTGCTTACACCTTGTCTGCCTTATCTACACACTACCTGCCTCTACTCTTACGCCTGTTTGCCACTGTCTTATTAACTGTCTTGCCTTCTATTGAATTGCTGCCTCTCTATCGATAAACATATTTCCTCTAATCTTACACCTGTCTGGCTCTATCGCTACCACCTGCCTGCCTCCTATCTTACACCTGCCTGCATCCTATCTTACATATATCTGCATCTGATCTTACAACCTGCCTTCGCTATGCTTACACCTGTCTGCCTCTATGTTTCTCCTGTCTGCCTCTATCTTACACCTCCTGCCTCCATTTTCACAACCTGCCTGCCTCTATCTTACACCTTGCCCTTCCTCAGTTAGCACCTGCCTGCCTCTATGCTTTACACCTGTCATGCCTCTATCTTACACCTGTCTTGCCTCCATCTTACTCCTGTCTGCCTCTATCTTACTCCGTCTGCCCTCTATCTTACACCTGCCTCTCTTCTAACACTCTGCTTGCCTTTATGTTACCAACTACCGTTGCCCTTCTTTACAACTCCTGCCTCTATCTACACCTTTCTGCTCTATGCTTACACCTGTCTGCCTCATCTTTGCAACTGTCTGCCTCTATCTTACACTAGCTGCCTCTATTCTTACACCTGCCTGTTCTCGTTTCATATACCCTGTCTGCCTCTATGGTTTACACCACTCTGCCTCCTTCGTACACCTGCCTGCCTTTATCCTACCACGCTGTCTTCTCATCTTACACCTGTCTGCTCTACTCTTACACCTGTCTGCCTCTCAGTCTTACAGCCTGCGTGCTATCCTATCTTAACCTGTCTGCGCCTCTGATTCTTATCATCCTTTCCGCCTCTATCTTACACCTGCCTGGCCTTTCTATCTTATCACCTGTCTGCCTCTATCTATCACCTACCTGCCTCTATCTTACGCCTTGTTGCCTCTATCATACACCTGTCTTCTTTCTATGCTTACACTTACATTCTGCATCTTATCTTGACACCTTCTGCCTCTTATCTTACACCTGCCTGTTCTATCTTAACACCTGTCCTGCTCTATCTTACACGCTGCCTCTCTATCTTACATACAGTCTATCTAGTCTTACACCTGTCTTGCCTCCTATCTTAACACCTGCCTTGCTTCATATCTTAACCTGTCTGCCCTCTATCTTACACCACCTGCCTCTATCTTACGCCTGTCCTGCTCTGTCTTTTATACTGGCTCTGCTCTCTATCTAATTCTGTCTCTCTCTATCTTAAACATATTCTCTCTATCATTACACCTGTCCCTCTATCGTACACCTGCCTCCCTTATCTACACCTACCTGCATCTATCTTACATCTATCTGCATCTATCTTACACCCGTCTGCCTCTATCTTACACCTGTCTGCCTCTATCTTACACCTGTCTGCCTCTGTCTTATATTGTCTGCCTCTATCTTATTCTGTCTCCATCTATCTTACACATATTTCCTCTATCTTATACCTGTCTGCTTCTATCTTACACCTGCCTACCTCTATCTTACACCTTCCTGCCTCTACCTTGCACCTCCGTGCTTCTATCTTACACCTTCCTGCCTCTACCTTGCACCTCCGTGCTTTTATCTTACAACCGCGAACTTCTACCTAATACTGACCCAAGCACACCTTCGGAGCCCCGTGTGTATATTAGAGAGTTAGTATTATATTAAGGTTAGGCTTAGCTTAGCTTTAGCATTACAGGCTGTTGGCGTTACGATTATGATGTAATGTGTGTATATGGGTAAGGGGCCTGAGACCCTCACATCTGTGCATGAGCTTTTACTTTACACGTGTTTTTATATACTACACCCATGTGAGTCTACCTTAGATTTGTGAGAAGGCGATCTGCTTATTTCATCTATATCGCTGTCGTCAATAAAGCTCAGGTTTAGCGTGTCTCCAAACGACGTGTCGCGCTTCATCTCGCTGCTGCCAGGTGGCGCTGCCACCGTTCTGCTACCCATGGTGACGTGCTGCGGGCGAGCTACCAGTATGCCTTTTTTGCAGTCATCTATAAACGCAGTCATCAGATGCATTTATTCACGCTGTCATCCGCTCCGTTCATCCGAGTTTATAGCATTATCGCAATAAACCGGTGAAGCGGGAGCCTTCAGCCCGCCGTGATGCACGCGTGTGGTGACTGCAAGGGTCAGCATGATTTGTTAGTAATAAGCGGTGAGGTACATACGTCACGACTTGCGATAACTTGTAAGTGCGTGACCTATAATAAACACTATAATATAGCAACAACTGCAACATATAGATATATGCAACAGTCATCGATGTGAATAAAGCACGTTAGCGCTACTTCGACTTAACGCGAGATTCCTTTCTTCAAAATCATCGAATTCACGCAAACAAAGATATAATTAAATGCGCTGCGATATAATCACACCGGATTAATTATTGATTTTTTTCTCCGGCGCTAGTACACGATGAATGATTAATAATAGAGGTAATGGATCCCGTAATGACGACGGCTACTGTTTGGGTAGAGGGCCCTACTGTTGGATCATTACTGTACATACGTCGTGGTCCATCACATCACGATGCCAATCGGGTGGAAAAAAGCTAAGCTCTCGCCATACATCATTCGCCAGCCGTGAAAACGCAAACGTGATATCCATCATATCGCATCAACAACTATAGAGAAGAGCCTAGATGTCCTCGAATGGACCAACCACCTTTAATACTCTCTCTCACTCTCTGTCTCTCTCTCCGTCTAATAATTATACTATATATAATATAATATATATATATATATAAATATATATACATAACGTGTATTGCGTTTAATACCACAAATATGGCCAGATATAGGTACAAGTTAGTCATAAGCGGTTAGGTCGATCGCAGACTTCACTCTCAGCAAACGCAAGCACGGACGGACATATCAACCGACGGCATATTACGTGTTACATGTTCGTTTCTCGCTAGCCATCGCGTAAATATAACACCTAGTAGGCACAAAGCAACGTCCGTGACACACAGAACCGGTCGCAAACTGATCCGTCGACTCTGGCTCCTCAGGTGCCTCTGCTCCTTCGCCTCACCTGCCCGATCAATCGCTCCACGCAACGGTGAAGCGGTGAGTGTCTGTATGGCCGGAGGATAGTCGGCCCGAGCGAGCGGTCACGAATCCAGTATCAAATCTCGTCTTATGTGCGTACACACTCGCTTAAGGTATACCGTCGCACGTATGCAGGGCACGGCCGCACGCTCGCGCTCTCTCGCTGCTCGGACCGTCGACCAATCAGGATACCGAGAAAACCGTGAAATATTTCAAAGCGTACCGTGATGCAGCGCGGCGCAGCGGCGTGCGCGGGCAGCCGACTAGGCAGCTGCGAGCGACACAATAACCGGGAAGCGGTTTTAAGTTCACGAGGCCCGTCACGACTGCGCTGCGCCAATGATCACCTATAACAGATCAACAGCAGAACAGACGATATAGCGTAGCTTACGCACGCGTGTGCGTAATAGCGGGCTAGTGTAGTACCAACAGAGAGCAGCTTAGTACGTAGGCGACCTTGACGCGCCCTACAAACCCTCACGAAAAAATGAGTGATAGAGCTTATATCGTCGTACGTGTCCCCGTGTCTCGCCATGTCGCGCTCATGTTGTATGTCACGTCCTTACTACTGGGAACCTGTGCCGTCCCCCAATCTATAATGGCTCTGTTGTCGTGCCGCGTCACCTACACACCACCGGTGCCCATTTGATCTCAGCGCGTGTCACCAAGCCCGCGACCATGCTAATACACGTCCTATGTCTGACGAGTACCTTACCCCTCCCCGCTTATCATAATATCTATTGCGCTAACGGTGACCAGACCCCCCCCCCCCCCCCCCCCCCCCCCCCCCCCCCCCCCCCCCCCCCCCACCAGCCCCCCCCCCACCCCCCCCCCCCCCCCCCCCCCCCCCCCCCCCCCCCCCCGCCCCCCCCCCCCCCCCCCCCCCCCAAAACCGTGTGATTTCCGCAATGTAATTTCTCTTTGGCTAACGTGTCACCGTACCCCTTCGCCGCGCAATTTTATAATTCCTCTATGCTGGCGGTGACACTGTGTGCTCTCCGCTGTCTAGCAGCTCGAATCCTCAATTTTAGCTAGCAATTGATCGGTTTGGTGCTGCGGCACATAGAGAGAAGAAGAGCAGAGAGAAAGAGAGAGAGAGAGAGAGGAGGGAGGAAAGGAGAGGAGAGAGAGAGAGAGAAGAGAGGGGAGGGAAGGGAAGGGAGGGAGGAGGGGGAGGGAAAGAGAAGAGAGAGAGAGAAGCGAGAGGCGAGCGAGAGAGAGATAGAGAGAGAGAGAGAGAAGAAAGAGAAAGAGAGAGAGAAGAGAGAGAGAGAGAGAGGAAGAGAAGAGAGAGAGAGAGAAGAGAGAGAGAAAAACGAGAGAGGTTAGGGAACATGTAAGGTTATTTCCCTTCCGTTGTCGATACATACAAAGCAAGCTAGGTATTCATTCGATTCAATTGCTAATAAGTCAGCATAATACCGATGAAAATGCAACGGGAGTTTTTATGTGGTGGGCGATACCAATAGAGATGAATCCGTGTTCCGTTCTCTGACAGTAGCAGCCTTTGACAAACGGCGCATATAGCATTACCGTAACTGCACAATTGTATTTGCTATCACAGACCAATAGCAGCAGGTGAAACACCTGTACCCTCCAGCATCACTACCCTCCCATCAATACCCTGCAAGGCAATCAGTACCCTCGGCATGCAGTACCCTCGATCAGTAACCCTCGACATCAGCACCGCATTCGTACAACGCGTGCTCAGCGTTGCCTTTTAGTGGTCAGCCGATGTTGCCAAATAGTATCAGCATTATACCGATCCATTCGAAAGCTACCTCGATCTATATATATATTATATGCGTCGGCAATAATTTCGCACTAAACTAAAACTGTATGTCGGCGAATGAGCAAGGATAACAGTATGGAATAATGTGATGTGAATGGACTGGATACGGTACGACAAGGTCCGCGTGTTAGGGGGGCGGGGGGGAAGACGCGAACATGAAACGCTCCAGGCGCGGGGCGGCGCCGCGCCCGCCGGCCGGGGGCGCGCGCCGCCGCCCGCGGGCCGCCGGGCGCGCCGGCCGCCGCGCCGCCGGGGCCCCCCCGGCGCCCGGCGGCCGGCCGGCGGGCGGGCGGGCCAGCTCGGCTCGACAGTACCTATTTCTGCTCCCTCGTCTACATATAGCATCAATCGCAGGAAAGACCAATAGAAATTATAACCAAGGATGCGTTCAATATCTCGCATTTTCATGAGCATATGTTTATTTGCGAGCGTTGTAAATGATTTCTAACGCGGATAATAAGCGTACTAAACTTAACGAAACGTTACGTAATAGGCAGTGTTTGACGGCGTTCTGATTTAAAATGCTCTATGCCACTAAATGGTGGTTTATTATTTTATTGGTAATAGCCGGAAGACGGCTGCAGTATAAAACATAAGAAAACGGTGCGCGCGTATCGCAGTTACACCGATGCATCAAAATAACTAAGGTTATGGTGAATACTAACATATCGCTTATATCTAAAGTGTATATACTTCTCATTTGCGCACGTCATTTGTCGCATTGTTTTTACTACTAAAACTGCAGATATTATAGCTGTATTCCAAGCGTAAACGCATGCAAGCATCTATACGTACTCTACTCTTCCCTCTCTTTTACCTCTTCCCTTCTCTGCTATTCGCCACTCTATCTCCTCCACCTTCTCCCCCTCTCACTCTACCCATAAAACGCCAGTGAGGGACAATTAAACGTGACCGCATCGAACACGAGGCAAAAGTTAAAACAAGTAGTTGATGGCTGACGTCAACTATCGTTACCTGAATCTCTAGCAACCAATATATATATGTATATATATATATATATATATATATATAATAACTATATATATATAGCAACGGGCACGAGTATGTATCTGCAATATAGATCTGGGCCGCGATTGTCAGAAACATCGTAAAGTGAATGCTAATGTTAAGGCTACGATAACACTTACGACTAATGTTAATGCTACGAGAGTAGCGTTGACCAGAACACATCGTAGCTCGAGCAACTCAACGATAACAGACTATCATAATTTCATGTCACAAATAGATTGATGAAGAATCGATCACAAATTCAAAATTCATACACATTATTGTGAATCACAGAATTTGTGCATATATGCTGGCTAACCACATATATAGTAATATTTGATGAAAAACGACACGGTACATGAATTATTCTGCACAACAAGAACAAATTCCACACTGTAACACGAACGCCGAGAGTCGTGGCAATCTGGCAAACATTTAAAAACGAAGAACAATGCCATAACCGCCATTTGTAAATGTATTGTTTGTTTAATCAATCGTAGATAATTAATGATTTGAACGTTTTCAAGAAAAACACATTTTATATCATTATTATAAAAATATAATATCACTATAATTGTAATTCGTAGTGTAAATGTGTTTATTGTTCAACTTAATATTAAAGTTACGAGGAGCGTCTGGGCCTCTTCGTAGATGTTAAGAGATATTTTCGAGAATTTTTCATTCTCCGTAATACGCCCCGTCACACCCGGCGCGACCATCCGAGGCCGTACGGCCGGACGCAGAAAATGTACAAGGTCGCCGCAAACCGAAACACAACGCGAGAAAAAAGTCACAACAAATTACAAACTTGAAAAAAACCGCAGCTCTTACCGCGACCTGTGCGATCATACGCGTTCTCACGGCGCACCCGCCAAACGACCTCTCGCGCTTATGGCGTTTCTATTGAGATCGTAGTGGCCTGGCAACGCGATCACCGGCCGTTCGCCGGGCGCTCTCACCACGCTCATGGGGTCTTACCACCGTCTTCGACTGTATGCGCGACTGCACGGCGACCTCAACGCGTTCTACCACGTTCTCACGGCGACTTATATAAGCTGGTCAAGATTTCGGAAATTTTAACTGCATAGTTTGGCGTTTGCTGAGTAGACACCACGATGCCGAAAAACAGCACCAGAGGCCCGAGGCCGTGCCGGTGCCGAGACAGATCGCAATGAAACCAGATCGGCAATCGGATGAGACAGATCATGAATTCGCCGTGAAAATGTTTACCATTTTCGCAGCGTCTTTGCACGCTGTACTGCGCGTGTACTACGCTTTATGAGATGTTACGACGCTTGTCTCACGACCTTCGCGACCCCCACCGCGTCTCACCGCGTTCCAGTCAGATCGCCGAAGCCTTGGCGTTTTATTTTGGACCACACCGAGTCCTGGTTCCACCACGCTTATTACCAACGCTTATGCAACCCTTGGCGCGCTCGCCCATATTTCCGTCGCCGTACAGCGCAGTAAGCCCACGCCCGTGTGACGGGTGTATAACGTTGCGATTGTTTCTGTCAACGGTTTTGCGAGTGAAGTTAATGTAAGAGCTAATGTTAAGACTAATTTGTTTCGAAACAACGGGCCCATGTGTAAGTTCCTGCTTGAATATATTATTACAATTTCTAAGAGACCTTTTCTCCTGTGGCACGCTTACGTGCACGCCAGGTATTTCTACATACAGATATTAACCTCTCGATCGCAGAATTTTCGCCGTTCACGTTCAAAATACAGGCTCGAACCCGCCGCATATTAACAATTGTTTCTCTGATTACCAGGGGTTTTCGGACGCATATATAGAAGTGTTACGCCGGTATTCTCGTGACTCATACGGCGCAAAAATCGTCGCCTGCAGCAGACCATAAAATATATTCTGTTCGGCCATATTAGCCTGAGTGTCGTGTTTGTTAGAATATACAATGATTAGACTACCCCGTGATCACTACAATAAAAGAACAGGTGCATAGAGTGTTCCACGCCTGTTGACCCTCATGAGACAAACAGCATGCACGTCAGCCACTCACATGTATGCGTGCGAGTGAATAGACAGTACATCCACTCTGATGAAAATCTAAGAAAGCATATGCTGCTGCCCGTGCAAACCCACGACCTCAATAACGAATATTCTTCGGTCTAAAGGACTGAAAAGAGGGCGGAGCCCAATTCGTTTGATGCAACTTCGGCTGAGCTAAGCCCCACGGGTTTTTCGTGCCAGTGGTCATGCGACGTACTCAGCGGTGTGCGCAGGCCACCCCAGACGCGTTGTCCGTGACTGCTTATTCATGGATCTCCAACTTCATTATTCAACAGCTTCCCACAGTATGATGGGTATTCCACTATACGCCATCCGGCGACGCGTTGGTACAGTACAGATCCGCCACAAGAGCGCATGTCTACAGTCCGCAGTAGATCGCCTTTTACCAGAGAGTGCGACAATAGACAACACCAACTCAGCATTAGAAACCGTATTGTTTCCAAATGGATCGCACACGCTGCCGCTCAAGTACAGCGCTGTATGGATACGCTGTACAATGTCCGATAATTAATTAGACTAATCGTGCTTCAATACCACTCAAAATTAACAGAGATTATAGTTAAGACATGTGTCTATGTTTATCTAAGATTCTAGAATGTAAACCTCAATCGTTCGCGGCGCCATATGATTAGTTTAATTGTACACTTTCTACCGCCATAGCCGGTGCGTATATCTATGTTGCGATAGCGTACCCGCGTAAGATTATTTGCTATTAAATAAACCACTCGCGCTTCATAAAACTCAAGAAATCACAGAGACGATAGATAAACACATGTGGTTTATATGTATTAGATTTCTAGAAATTAACTCAAATCGTTCGCGCCATATGATAAGTTAATTGATAACTTTAATTCTTACCTCCCATAGCCGTGCGCTAATAATTCCTATGTGCGATAGCCGCGCGTAGATATTTGCTAATTTAATTAAACACCGCGCTTCAATAAACTCAAGAATCACAGAGACCATAGATTAACAATGTGTTTATATGTATAGATTTCTAGAAATGGTAACTCAAATCGTTCGCGCCATATGATATGTTTAATTTACACTTTCATGCTTACGCTCCGCATAGCCGTGCAGTATATTCCTAATGTTGCGAATACCAGCGCGTAGGATATTTGCTAATTAATTAAACCAGCGTCGGCGCTTCAATAAACTCAAGAAATCACAGCGATTATAGATAACACATGTGTTATATGTATCCTAGATTTTCTTAGATAATGTAACTCAATCGTTCGCGCCATATGATAGTTTTAATTGTACATTTTCTTACGCCCATAACGGCCGTGCGTATATTCCCTATGTGGCGATAGCGACCGCGCGTAGATATTTGCTAATTAATTGAACCTCTCGCGCTTCAATAAACTCAGAATCAGCAGAAGATCATATATATACACTGTGTTTATATTATCTAGATTCTAAGAACGTAAAGCTCAACCCGTTAGCCCGCGTGTGTACAGCACTATATGATACGCGGTGAAATATGGAAGATGCCAGCCAATAGAAAAACAAAAAACAGTAATTTAACCATCCGCAGCAACATCTTCTAATAAAATAACAAATTGAAATATTTTTTGGTTAATATACCGAGAATATATACGCAGTTTTTATGAGACCATTTTCGCATATAGCTTTCTAATAAACATAGCCTCCCGAGTCACAGACTAGTATAATACATATTTGTCAAAAAACAGCCTATACATGTATTACATTCTATACACTGATTATAGCTAGCAGTTCACTCACGACAATATGGTTAGGATTAGGTTAGGAGGAGACGTAGCACTCCCCTAGACCTCGTTAGTGGAGTGGCGAGGTACGGTCCAGCAATTAGATAAGTCCCAGGTAAACGTTCCGGTATACGCGGACGGTACCAGCAGGGTACGTTTCTGGCAGTACCCTGGGACATAGACCCTCTCAGCCTATAGTTACGCGACCCACATAGACAATCCTGCAGTAAGTTACCACACACTACAACAATCGTTGGCAGTAGTTACAACACACATAGACAATCTTTGCATAGTAGCCACGCACTAGACGTAACGCGGCCATGATCCGAGGCGCTAGCGCGAAAAGGATTGACACTTTGTGTCTTCCAATCACAGTCCACGGCCGCCCCCCCTTTAATGATCAAATTTGTGAGTACAATATCATTCGGACAATCGGAATCGGCCGATCTCAGGAACTAGGGCATTCTGCTAAGGCTAGAACGGTTTCATCCGATAGAGTGGCCCAAATAACGAATATAACCAACGCTGTTTGCGCACAGTGCTAAAGTCTTTTCTTTCATTTTCGCATATCTGTAGGCACGAATAAGCCCCGCCTATTGTTGGATTTGGCAATGAATGGGGCTCAACGACGTGAGCTACTCCTGTACTACTGCAAGCCCGTTGACTTTTCGTAAAATAATGAAATGCCCGCGCCGATGCATTGCATCAAAGAAGAAGAAAATTCCTGCATTTTCACTCGCTATCGCAAGTCAACGAGCGCGTCATTCCACAGTAAACATTGTGTATTCCATAATTTCACTGCTTGGCTCTTAATAGTAAAATGATTTCCACAATTTTGGCTACTTTTGCCCATAATAATGATACGAATCACGCTATGTGATTAAGTGTTTTCACGGCACAACTGTTCTGCATTAAATGGCTTCGAGTCAGTAGGTCATTCGAAACGCAGCAGGTGTGCCGTACGGTTCTTTGTGGCTGGCACTTGCTAGCACGCGAGCTACGCGTAGACGTTGTGCAGCCCAGCCTCGCTGCTGTGAATGCCGGGTTTAAGTGTAGCCTGTTGTTAGTTATTAAACCAGCATTAACCCTATACAATAAATGTTATAGTTCTTACGACGGGACATAACAATAAGATTTTATTTAATAATAATTTCATAATAATTAATACATTTTTCAGTTCGGAACTCGCCTATCATAGCGTTAATAACCAATCCAA